CCCCCCTCTCTCTCTCTCTCTCGTGCTCTCTCGCTCTCTCTCTCTCGCTCTCTCTCTCTCTCTCGCTCGCGCACACACAGACACGATGCGTAAAACTCAGCATTTGAACAGTCAATAGCAAATACTTAAACTAATAACAAAACAGTAGCTGATTCAGAAGCGCCAGATTTCCAAAGAGAAAGGAAAACTTGAAATCGCATCATATGACCCCTTTAAAACAGCATACTTTCTGAGTAGGTACTTCTTCTGAAGTACTTTGCAGCTGTTAAAAAAGCATGTTCTATGAATGTGTGTAGTATGCAGTGCTGGGTAGATTACTTACAATTTGTAGTATGTTACTGATTACAAATTGCATGGCGAAAATTGTAGTTTGTAACATAATCTGGATTACACATTAGGTAATGTAGTTTGACTACTTTTTGATTACTTTTGACCTAACTCGTTTATCACATACAGTAGTGTGATAATGTTATTAACCCTACATTACATGAACAAACATTAATAAACATGAAATTTTATATCCTCTCTAAGTACCTTTAGGGCCCCCTGGTTAAAAATCCTGTGGCAATATTTAACAAAGTCTGTTCTCCTTTGGCCTATGATGATAGCAGTTGTTAGAGCAATTATGATTTTTATTTGCATAAAAGGTGTGGCTAAGGTAGTTTATGCTTAACATCTTTTTTTTTTTTTTAAAAAGGTATACGAATAAACTGATACGTAATTAAAAATGTACAGCTTCCCAATAAGTACGGAGACAGTTGTCATATCAGTTTTTTTTTTTTTTTTAATTTCCCGCTATTTCACAATAAATTGTTGAGCCGCAATGCACTTTCGGTGGTATTTGGTCACAGAATGAGTCCATACAGTTTTTGACATTTTCTGAAGAAAATGTATAGTCAACCATTATTAAAATAAATGTATGATTTTTTTTTTAATTTCACAAACTTTTTGATTCAGGTGTGGGTTGCACATTATGATCATGTAATATAAAAGCATAGAAAATTCAAATGCTTATAATACAAAAACACAAAGAACCAAACAATGACAACATTTCACAATTCTACAGAACAATTTATTCAAAAAGCAGTAACATCAACAAAATGAAAGTATATGATAATTCAGTGCAAAATTCGGAGTCTTATTTTTTCAAGAAAATTGTCAGGACACACTAAATGTTCTTAAACAAAGCATATGGATGGAGTAAAAGAAATGAGTGCAATGAATATCTGACTGGTCCCTTTAACTCTAACGTTGAATTTTTTGTAGTGGTACACATTTCTACATTAATCTTGAACTGTACAAAATCTGAAGCTACTGGCATTCATTCAGCTGATGAACCTTATGTAACTCAACGTCGACTCCTTTTCTTTTTGTCCTGATTCCTGAGAAATGTTTTGCTGATGCTTCGTTTTCATTTGTGTTAAGCTCAGCCCTCTGAAAGATATAGAAAATGTATGAATTCTAAAAAAAAAAAACCAAAAAACCAAAAACAAAGATTGATTCAATGTTATACACAACTTACTGTAGCTTGTGCTTGAATCCTTTTTTTTCTCTTTTGTAAATACAAGACCTCAGCATCATCACCATTGTTATCTGTGGGCAACTGACATTTCTCAGAAGGGTTTATAGTGGCCAAAAGGGCTGGTAAGGTAAAGCATGACAAGAAACGAGCCTTCAAAAGCAGGTACGCTGGATTTGAGGCAAACCTTTCAGCAATCATTTTGCGGATGGCAGCTACTTGATCTTCTTCCTCTCTGTAATTTTGATATTCATCTGGCAGGATATTCACTGCAGCTGCAAGCAGAGATTGTTTAACTTTGAGCAAAGAAGTCAGTGTTTCGATGCTGGCGGCAGACGGTGGAAGGTAAGGCAAAGACATCTCTAAATGAGGTAGTGGAATTCCACCTTTTCCATTCATCCAGTCATCTACTTCAGATGACTGCTCAGGGAATATCAAGTGGGGATTAAAGCTAACATCAGAGGGAATATCAGGAAGAGGGATCAATGGTTCACTTGATGTTATGATTTGAGATACTTCTGATGGAGCCACAATTTGAGGTGGTGGAGCTGCAATCTGAGGTGATGAAGCCACAATCTGAGGAGGTGGAGCCACAATCCAAGGTGATGGAGCAACAATCCGAGTTGTTGGAGCCACAATCCGAGGTGATGGAGCCACAATCCAAGGTGAAGGAGCAACAATCTGAGGTGATGAAGCCACAATCTGAGGTGATGAAGCCACAATCCAAGGTGATGGAGCAACAATCCGAGTTGTTGGAGCCACAATCCGAGGTGATGGAGCCACAATCCAAGGTGAAGGAGCAACAATCTGAGGTGATGAAGCCACAATCTGAGGTGATGAAGCCACAATCTGAGGTGATGAAGCCACAATCTGAGGGGATGGAGCCACAATCCGAGGTGATGAAGCCACAATCTGAGTTGGTGCAGCCACAATCCGAGGTGAGGGAGCAACAATCTGAGTTGGTGGAGCCACAATCCGAGGTGAAGGAGCCACAATCTGAGGTGACAGAGCCACAATCTGAGCTAATGGAGCCACAATATTAGGATATTGAGCTATAAACTGAGGTGAAGGAGCAATTGGTCGGAGCGGTCTTCTAGAAGTAGAAAGGGGGCTCAATATTGTGTTTTCATTAACACCAGGAGACTTTGCCACTGCAACATTATTTGTTGGCTTGGATGCGACTGGTGCACTAGCCAAAGGTGCCACAGTCAAGGGAACTGGAAGAACACTGAAAACAGCAGGAGATACTCTGGAACCAGTTGATGTAGATGTCTGATATTGCTTTACAATGGATTCATCAGAAGAGGAATCTGAGGAGTTCTTCATAGCTTCAATGTGTGAACCTTTCTGGTCCTCTTTAGGTGTTGGAGATAACATCTGAACACTATGTAGCACACTTTTGCTCTGTACTAAGGTCGAAGTAGGTGAAAGAGGCGTCTGGATGCCTTTGGGGCTAATGTTCACAGAGGAGGAAGTCTTTAGGGTATCTCTGGAGGCATTAGTGACTGAAGAACATATAAGGGCAGGATTGACAGAAGAAGCAGCAACAACCAGGGCAGATGATGATGGGTATAGATTGGTTGAGATACATGGACGAATACTGCTATTCAGGGGGGAAATGTTTGGCACAGTTAATGTCTGGTTGCTTGGGATATTAGCAGGAAGTGGACCGGTTACTTGTACCAACTTGGTGGGGGCAAGAATCCAGTTTACTGGCTGCGTCTGCAATGTAATGGTCTGAAAAACAACATTCTGTTTGCCTTGGTTTCGTTTCAGCGACTTTTTTTCTGAGGTGATGGAGCCACAATCCGAGGTGATGAAGCCACAATCTGAGTTGGTGCAGCCACAATCCGAGGTGAGGGAGCAACAATCTGAGTTGGTGGAGCCACAATCCGAGGTGAAGGAGCCACAATCTGAGGTGACAGAGCCACAATCTGAGCTAATGGAGCCACAATATTAGGATATTGAGCTATAAACTGAGGTGAAGGAGCAATTGGTCGGAGCGGTCTTCTAGAAGTAGAAAGGGGGCTCAATATTGTGTTTTCATTAACACCAGGAGACTTTGCCACTGCAACATTATTTGTTGGCTTGGATGCGACTGGTGCACTAGCCAAAGGTGCCACAGTCAAGGGAACTGGAAGAACACTGAAAACAGCAGGAGATACTCTGGAACCAGTTGATGTAGATGTCTGATATTGCTTTACAATGGATTCATCAGAAGAGGAATCTGAGGAGTTCTTCATAGCTTCAATGTGTGAACCTTTCTGGTCCTCTTTAGGTGTTGGAGATAACATCTGAACACTATGTAGCACACTTTTGCTCTGTACTAAGGTCGAAGTAGGTGAAAGAGGCGTCTGGATGCCTTTGGGGCTAATGTTCACAGAGGAGGAAGTCTTTAGGGTATCTCTGGAGGCATTAGTGACTGAAGAACATATAAGGGCAGGATTGACAGAAGAAGCAGCAACAACCAGGGCAGATGATGATGGGTATAGATTGGTTGAGATACATGGACGAATACTGCTATTCAGGGGGGAAATGTTTGGCACAGTTAATGTCTGGTTGCTTGGGATATTAGCAGGAAGTGGACCGGTTACTTGTACCAACTTGGTGGGGGCAAGAATCCAGTTTACTGGCTGCGTCTGCAATGTAATGGTCTGAAAAACAACATTCTGTTTGCCTTGGTTTCGTTTCAGCGACTTTTTTTTGCTACCTTTAGCTTTAGCTTCTTCCATTAGGGCTGGGACTTTCTCAGTAGGTTTGTGGATGCGTTTTGTAGATTTGTCGCTGTTTGAGTCCTCTACACTTGGTGATTTGGGGGTTGAGGCCATGACAGGTTGTGTAGGTGCTGTCTGCTGTATTAGTGGTAGAGGAATCTGTGATATAGCTTGTGGTGGTGACTGTGGTAGTAGAGATATTTTCTGTTTCGTAAGCATTAAAGGCTGCACTGCCCTCTGCTTGTTTGGCTGTGTAATGACAAGAGTTTTGGGATGAATCAAAGCAGGGGTTGTCATCTGCATGACTGGCTGCTGGGGAAGGTTAAGAAGAACCGGCTGCAGGGGAGGTGGATGTTGAGGAGGTTCTGCAGGTTTCTTGTGCTCAGCTTTCTGTTTTGCCTCCTTAAGCATCGCTGACACTTTTTGAGGAGGAGCCAAATAACCATAGGAAGGAAACATTGACATTAAGCATGTTATGGCAGGAAGAATTGGAGCGCTTTGGATATGTGCATTATTTGTTATTATATTTCAAGACTTCAAAATGGATAAATATAAACTGACATACCTGTTCTCGGTTTAGATTGAGCAATTGGCTTCTGGAAAAAGACAAAACAAGAGAGAAAAACTGACAATACTGAGGGAACACTAATCTTCGAGTTATTACTTTCTTTTAAAAAATACTGCTTATTCATATGCACATCAGCAACAAAGTATGACAACTAGGCTAATTAATTTAAGATGCTGGATTGATAAATACCTTAATGTCGATCTTTTGCTGAATTTCAAAGACATTCTTGCAACCCTTGATATCTATTTGAAAAGCCTGTGTTAAGGAAACACAACCATGTGAAACACTGCCGTCTTTGTTTCTTTTATTTCATCGTAGCGGTTGACAAAATTATTAGGCTTACTTTGAGGAAAAATGAAAACACTGATGTTTTTGGAAGAGTGATGTCTGCTGCTTTCATTCCAACAATATCACCTGTAAAATAATTATTGATGAATTATTGACAAAAAAATGCCTTGAATTACTCATAACTACGTCCATTTTGAATCTGCACACTAGAGTACTATAAACTAAACTGAACTTATTGCTTAAAGTCAATGTGAATTGTAGTTGCAACTCATTTTACTTCCACAGGGTTTCTGCAGGTTTTATAAAGGTCAATTTAAGACTTTTAAGACCTAGTAAAGAAATTTTAAGGAGTAAATTAAAAGAGAAACAATGTCTCTCATACACAATATGTAAAACAATGTTTTTCTTGTACATCTCTTACAATACGTTCTCTAAATATAAATGTCTAGGGAGCTCACAATGAGTTGTATTAGCAGCACTTCAATACCGATCTTCCAAGCTTCCAACCGATCTCCATTATTTTGTAATTAATTTTACAAAAACTAAAATAAAATAATAATAATAATAATTGCTTAAAGGGATAGTTCACCCAAAAATGAAAATTTGATGTTTATCTGCTTACCCCCAGGGCATCCAAGATGTAGGTGACTTTGTTTCTTCAGTAGAACACAAACGAAGATTTTTAACTCAAACCGTTGCAGTCTGTCAGTCTTATAATGGAAGTGAATGGGAATCACGGCTTTGAGAGTAAAAAAAAAAACATTTACAAACAAAACCAAATGAAACCCTGCGGCTCGTGACGATAAATTGATGTGTAAAGACATGAAACGATCGGTCTGTGCAAGAAACTGAACAGTATTTATATCGTTTTTTACCTTTGATGCACTGCAATGTCTGAACTGTCCTGAGCACGTCCTTGACAGCCGGCTGACGCGTCTTCCTTCTTCTTGCTTTACGGCAGATCGCAGACTTATAAGTGCATTACCGCCACCATTGGACCGTTGACACTCCTAATTGAGATTGTAGATAGAGTGTCAATGGTCCATTTGAGAGATAGTTGGCGGTAATGCACTTATAAGTGCACCGGCTGTCGAGGACGCGCGCTCAGGACAGTTCAGACATTGCAGTGAATCAGAGGTAAAAAAAAACTATATAAATACTGTTCAGTTTCTTGCACAGAAATTTTTGGGTGAACTATCCCTTTAAGGCTTGAATACCTCTGCTCCCAACCACTAGAACTAGAATGGAAATAACTTTTTGTTAAAGGGGTCATAGGATGTTGCTAAAAAGAACATTATTTTGTGTATTTGGTGTAATGCAATGTGTTTATGCGGTGTAAGGTTCAAAAAACACATTATTTTCCACATAATGTACATTATTGTTTCTCCTCTATGCCCCGCCTTTCTGAAACGCGTCGATTTTTACAAAGCTCATCGGTCTGAAAAGCGAGGTGTGCTCTGATTGGCCAGCTATCCAGTGCGTTGTGATTGGCCGAATACCTCAAGCGTGTGACAGAAATGTTACGCCCCTTACCATACTGTGTTTCCATCATACAGTCTATGGTTTCCATGTTGCATCCAGTGTGGACATAACTACTGATTGTAATGACTTATACTGTGTTTTTACACTTTGCGTTGCATTTCCAGAGCAAATGTCTGAAGATTCTTAAATCAAGATACATTTACTTACTTGTGTCCAGTAAAATTGATTTATGTTTAAAACATGAACAAATATCTGTCAGTGGGCTCAGATAAAATCTACTTTATTAAAATGAAAATTTTCATATATACTATTGACAGATATTTGTTCTTGTTTTAAGTATAAATTTAATTTTGTTAAATATTTCAAGACTTTTTCATTTTACATTGGCATCTCAAGTAAATGTATCTTCAATTAAGTATGTTACATTTGCATTGGAAAGCTATTTTATTATAGATATTTTTTTTTTGGAAAACAAAAACAGGAAGATATTAATTTTGGCAATGCATGCAACATTTATTGCAATGACTGCTCTGATGCGAGACCTTTTTTAAGGCTGTAAATTGTGCAAGGGCAAATTAAGACCTGCAGAAACCCTTCTTCAATAATGTGACATTCTGGAGTGAAACAAGATATTTAACAAGAAAAAAAAGGGGCGAAACTTTATTCATCAGCAATTAACTGTCTGATATGTGAGGCTGCTAAAACATTGCTTCAGTACCACAAAAACCCACAAATGTTTAGGTGTTTTGTCAGAAGTGAAACAAGGGTCTGTACCTGTGCAAAATGCATCTTCATTCGCTGGAGCAGGCAGGATCACATTACCAATCCACGGGGTGATGGCTTTAAGGAGGTCATTATTAAGGCTAGCCATGTCCTGAACCGGCCTTCTTTTCTTTATATTTATTGGACTTGTCATTTTCTCCTGTAGGTCATTTTGAAAGGAAAAATGCATACAATCAATGTAACGTAAGTGTATTATTTATTTAAAATAATATATTTTCTAAGTATGATATTATAAAGACAATAATGCCTTAACAGTCTTAAGTCTGAATAAGGCTATAGTTTTAAATCTTATTAGCTCTTAGAAAGTGGTAACTATTTTCTAATATACTTAAATAAATAATAATAATGTAATGGCCTTATAAATGTAACCAAGTATCATCTGTGTTAACCGTACCTTCTTAATTACAGATGCTCCCTTCCACTGTAGGAAGTGTTTAATATCACTCAGAGACACCTTGAGCATGGCCTTCTCATCGTCAGTCTGCATGCATGAAATGAAATTCATTTTTACACAGAAGCATTGTAGAACATATAAATAAAATTAAAAACGGGTCTGACCTGAAAAGAGAAAGAAAACATCTCACCTGACTCTGCAAGACAGTAGGTTTTAAACCTACATAAGTTCTTTCCACGTTTCCAAAGCGGTTCAGGACAGTATTGCGCACGAAACTGAGCATGACTTTTGGACATTTGCTCTTCTGTGATCGAATGCGGCTGAAGACAGATTTTTTAGTGGATTCCTCTAGCTCATCCTCGATGGTAGGAGGACAGACCCACACAGTCCTGACAGTTCCTAGAGAATGAACCACTGTGTTTGCATTTACAGGTATCCATTCCTTCATATCTGGCTGTACGTAGTCCTTTCGTGGTATTTCCCGATTTTGTGGTATTTCCAGATCTTTGGGAACATCTGATTCAACATCACTGTCCATATTATTTATCTGGTTTTCGTCCTCGGAGCTGGTGATCATCTCTTGTTTAATGTTTTTTTTCAATACTTTTTGTCTTTTTCTTTTTCCTGGCACTGTTGTTGGCCTCCTTTTTCTTTTTATGCCTTTACTCTGATGCTCTTTACTCGTACTCTGAAGAAAAACAACAACAACAACAACAACAAAATGTTTATGTTTATTTATGATACTTAATCTTCTTGAAGGATGCAAGATATACTGAAGAATGAACTTACAGCTTGTGTTAGTAATTTCCACTTGTGTAGGCATTGGCAGTCAATCCGGTTTGGGATCTCTGAGGCAATCTTACTCCACTTGCCTGGAAAATAATGAGCAGATGTGCCCAAACATTTTAATACGATGGGCCAAAAATCAAACTTGACTGGGGACCATTGCCCAAAAAAAGTAAAATTGAAAATACAAATTTAAATAACGAATCAAAAATGTAAAAAAACATTTTTTTTTTATTATTATTTTTTTTATACATTTGTTAAAAAAAATTTAACAAAAATATACATTACAAATGAAGATATATTTCAATGGCATTTAAAAAAAAAACGTTCCCCTCCTCTTGTGATATAGCATCACAGGCCAAATCAAAGGTCATCACAGACCAACTTTTTCCCGCAGGCCCTGGTTTGGGCATCTCTGATCTAGTCATTAGAATACAGTATGGATAGACTTTGGTCTGAAAAACAGCTAATACAAGTGGATAGAGTTTTTTTTTGAAGGCTGAGACAGTGTCTACATTGAAAATGACCATCTTGAGGTTGTCTGTGCTAAAATACAAGTGCCAAAGCTGCATGTCACTTCACAATGTTTGCACTAACCATGAAACTATGAGCTGTGAGCAAAAGTAAAATGAAAATAAAATCGGTTGGTTTAAGAATTTTTGCATGTAATTTCAAGAAGTTGAACAGTTCTATACCTTTTGTTAGATTTTCTCCATATATGGTTAAAATCAAAACAACAACAAAATGATTTCAATGTCATGACGAATCATCTCCTCTCTAAAGTAACATCATGAGTTGGCCTTGACATAATGGTCATTAGTTATTTAAATACACTAAGAGTGTTATTTAGAGTTTTTCATGTTTTTAAAGTCTCTTATGCTCACCAAGGCTGTATATATTTGATCAAAAATACAGTAAAACAGTAGTTTTATAAAATATTTTTATTTGATTGTTCCCTTGAAATTGTAATTGTGATTATTATTTATGATTATCACAATTTACATTGAATGTTTGAATAGCTTTATACCATTGTTTGAAGCAACTGCATGCTATATTAATTTATATGAAAATAAGCACGTTGAAAACACTCTTCCTGAAAAAACGTATTGCTTTTCTATAGCATTAAGACTCAAATGTCAACTACACATTGGTTTGGTTTCTTCTTTAAATTAAAAAAAGTAAAAATATGCATGTTATTATAATGTTATTCTAAAGCTAAAATTAAAACAATAGAAAAACCCTTAAGAAAATAAACACACATCTTAAGCATGCAGAATAATGTAAGTTGACATAATTGTGGCATCCGTAATTATAATCACGATTAGAAATTTTATTAATTGTGCAGCCCTAATTTAAATGGATGCTGGATATTGTTTCTGCCTATTTTAAGACTTATTAATGCTAATTTATTGAGATAGCGATAGTTAATTCCAAAGATTTCACTTACCGACGCCATATTTCTCAACCTTTTCTTTTAGTAGTTCCACCTCCTCTTTGCTCCAAGGCCCCTTTTTCACATTTTCCTGAAGACAATCCAAATACCTAAGATGCAAAAATGTTCATATTTACGTATCTAGCACTAGTCAATCCAGACAGATTGATTTGGGTGTTGAAATGATTTCAGGGATGTTATTATGAAACATTAGTTGCAGAGCATACATTTACTTTTGTCTGAAATGTGTCATACTGTACCTGTCACGACAAGCACCGTCGGTCCTGCCTGGCACTTCCAGTCTGATTTTCCCCCATTCTTTGGTGCCATATTTTGAAACAGCATTCCGCAACAACTGATATGAAAGCAGTTAGTCAAATTAGTGAACTTGATTAGTCAAATTTGGCATGTGGCATGCAACAGATTTTAAAACATTGTGTCTTGAACACAGAATATGGTTATAAATATGGAAAATTGACAGAATATGGTACAAAAGCAATGCATTAAATCAGTTTCTCATTTATTGTAAGAGAGTACAATATACAAAATTAATTAAGCTCCATACTTGGTCCTCTTCTTTGGACCAGGGGCCTTTCTTTAAAGAAGGATCCAAAACGGACGTCCAGCGATATGCCAGCTGTGATCCATCACGGCCCTCCATGAAGTATGACACTGTGGAGATAATAAATAATACAAATATATAGCCCCTATGATACATACTTATTTCCAAAACACAATTGAAGTAAATGGAATCTATAAATGAAACCTGTCATAAAGGACATATTCTTGCATTTAAAACAAATTCTTACAAAAAAAAAAACTATTTTTAAAAGTGCAGTCAGATGCATGAACACATTGTGTGTGATCAATCCCTTGTTGTTCCCTTATTGTTATTTTATTTTGAATTTGTCTTATCCAAGCTGATTTCAGAGTCAGAATGATCTGTTTCAGAAACAAATGTGCAACATTCAGTACAAGAGCTCAAGAAGACCCAAATGTCTCACTCTGTATGTAAGGAATGAAGTTGCCAATTCTCATTTTTTCAACCAGTTTTCTAAGGATCTCATCTTCCACTTTTGTCCACTCTT